GCAGGAATCATGATGGCTGAGGCACGTGGCTGTGTGGCACCTGCCATCCACTGCTCAGCCCTGCGGTGGAGGTACAGGAGTGTCCGCGCTTCCTCTGTCTGGTTGTAGGACTCGGGGACACTCTCCTGAGCCACCCCCAGCATGGACGTCCGTCGAGGGGGCGTGGTGCTCAATGGGTCGCGCGGGCCATATGTCCTGGGGCCGGGCACTGCGCGCGCACGGCAGTCACCCTGTCGCTGGAGGAGCGGCAGCAGGAGGCCTGGCCCTGCCTCCCGCCATGCTCTCTCCAGCCCAGCATCTTCACAGGGTTAGGGCCTGGCTGAGCCTCGGACGTCCGTGCCACTAAGTTGGCCCCGGGCAGGCTGGGTCCACAGAGCTCAGGCTTGGGAGAAGGCCAGCCCAGAGCAGCCAGTTGCAAGCCAGCCGCTGGCCCAGCTGTGCGGAGGGGCTCGGATGGGCATCTGTGGTGGGCTCACGTGGCCACAGGGGGCGTTAGGACCGTCAGTGGCCGTGGCCATCCGGCTGTGGAGGACAGCGCCGTCCCCGTCAGGCTGGCGTTGTGAGGGCTGTGCCTGGCTGGGGCTGGCCCCACACTCGCCCTGAGACTGGGTCCCTGCAGAGACTGCCGAGAGCTTGCCAGTGCCGAGGTGTGGCCCTGCCCCCGGGTCTGTGTGAGGGGCTCGCGGGGCCAACGGCTCCAAGGTGCCAGCTCCCTGCTCAGGTAGGCCTACCAATGGGGGCCAGCTGCATGCGCCGGGAGCTCGAAGGGGCAGCCCTGGGCGTGTCGTCCTGGCCCCGCCAGCTGCTCGCGGGTGGATGAACGGGTTGGATTAGTGGTGCCCGGGGCTCAGGGGTCTGGCCTCAGGGCGGGCGGCAGGGCAAGGCGGGACTTTGAGCTCTGCACTCGGCGCGTCTGTGGTGTTAGCCCATCTGCCCACCCACGAGGGCAGCTCAGCCTTCAGATGGTCGCTGTCACCATGGGGATGGCACGCCCCGTGGCAGGGCGCCCTCAGGAGGTGGCAGCGTTCCCTGGGTGTGCTGGGCTCTGACCACTGCCCGGCCTTCAGGTCCTCGGTGAGGGAGGACAGAGTGGCATGCAGGATGGCGGGCCAGGTCTGGGAGGCTCCGGACATGGGCACTTCTGAATACCTAGAGGGTGTGGGCAGCCAAGGAGATGCAGCAGAGTGGAGCGAGGAGAGAGCAAGGCTGTCGGCCACTGGGGACGTGCTCAGGTCCTCCCGCCTGGCCCTGGGGAGAGACTGCAAGATCGTGGCCGTGAGGTGGGGCCGTGACGGTCAAGTCTGGTCTGCAGCAGCATCTCTGGTGCTGGAGCCATTGTCAGAGCTGGGGGGACAATGGCCCACGGGGCAGCTGGGCCCGGGCTCCCGTCATGCACTCGCTCAGACACACTGCGCCAGGTCTACGTGGGGACAAGGGCCGCCAGGGAGCCCTGTCCTGGGGTCTCCGACTACGCAGAGGTGTTAAACCAGGATGGTGCCCATCTGGGACTCGGTACAGACCCTGGAGGGTGCCGCCTGTCTCCACCAGCACAGGGACGGGGGGACACTGGTCAATGGCCTTCTCTGCTCTCCGCCCCATGGCCAGCCCGGCCTGGCCCTGTAGAGAGGCCCTCGGGGCAGCAGTTGGGACGACCTGTCGTGGAAGCCCAGGGGTGCCAGGAGCCAGAGGGGGCCATTGGCACACAGCCCCCGGAGGGCCACAGGAAGCGGTGCAGTAGGTGGGGGGCCACATGTGCCCTGGGGGAGCTTAGTGGGGGCTGTGTCAAGGCCCCCTTATGTGCCAAGGGTGGGCTGTGTCTTTGCCACTGCTGTGGCAGCTCTGTCCCTGGGCGTCCCCAACCACCCAGCTCTCCTTGGCTGGGGCAGGGCAGCCAGCGCAAGCCTGCAGGGCAGAGGCAGGGCGAGAGTGGGTGCGGGCCATCGGCGCTCCAGGGACAGACAGGGCTTGGAGATTGGAGTCATGTTGTCGGGGAAGCACGCGTATCTGAGTGGGGCGAGCCAGACGCTGGTAGAACAGAGGCCAGGGGGCGGGTCCGGGTTGGGAGCAGTGGCCCAATGCACCCTGCCGAAGGGACCCAGACGGCGTTAGTGGGAGCTGCCCTGGAGAGGACTGCGACCTCTGGTGGGGGCCTGGCCGCCCTCTTGCCCCTGCAGGGCCTGCCTCACCTGATGGGAGGAGGGCTGAGCTCTCGAGAGCGAGCTGGGTGAGAGTGATCCAGGGTCGGGGTCATGGCCAGCCCTAGCAGGTGGGCACACGGGTGTTGGTGGTGTGGCCCCGGCCATTCACACTGACTGTGGAGGGCCACTCGGAGAGCTTTCACTGCTACAGTTTTGGTTTTGAGAAACCCTGGACTGTGGAGTGTGGACGGAGTTGTGGCTCATTTTCCAGGCCGGGGTCCTCCCCCTCCCCACCGTCCTAGCTGGGAAGTTGGGGTGGAGGCAGCCATCCCCTGCACCCCTACTGATGTGACCGTCAGGTCACAGCTATGCCCCCTCGGCAGCGCCACGGGGCGAGGCTCCAGTCCTAGTCCTGGGTGGCTCTGCTGTCTGCCTGCAGGGCCATGCCTGGGGACGCTGCTGCTGTGGATGTCCTGTCGTAAGGCCGCGGTGACAGTGGGCTCTGGTGACGGCCGACGGTTAGCACGTTGCTGGGCATCTTCTGGGGCCAGGCTTGTCCCATGCCCAGCAGGTCGTCCGGGCGATGCCGCGAAGTGCTGTCGAGTGTGGACGGGAGTGCATGGTTCACGTGCCTACCCCGCATGGCCTGGCTGAGCAGGCTTCAGTGGGGTGTCCAGAACTGAGACCCGGCAAGACCCAGTGGTGGAAGCCCCTGCTGAAGCCAGTCTTTGTGGGTCATTTCCCTTAGGCTTGATGCCAACTGCGCTCACCGATGGCCCTGGGCGGGGAGGGCTGGGTGTCCCTGGTGAAGTGGCCCCTGTCCCCTCCCCAGCCCCAGCCCAGAAAGAAGCCTTGGCACCCACCAGGCTCAGCCAACTCTGGGCTCATTAGAGAACCTGGAATCTCGAAAGAGCAGTCAGAGGTGGTGGGTGTTTGCTGTGGGGCAGGAGAGCATGTGGGTGCCCCTGTGCCCTGTGCCGTGAGGGGGACCCTGTCACTGGGCTCTCTGAAGGCACTGCAGACCTGGACCAGGGGCCCCGACAGTGCAGGTCGCCTCAAGGGAGCACCCCATCCCTCTGCTCCTGGCACCCCATGCCTGGCCTGGCCTGGCCAGCTTGACCCGTCACCACCTGGCCCTTCTGGCGGAATGGGCAGAGCGGGGTGGGCAGCAAGCTCTGAACGCAGCCAGTCCAGCCCTTGCCGACCCCCAGTGGCGTCCGCAGTCAAGTGCCAGTGTGGCTGCTCATACCCACGGACGTTCACCCGCTCGGCTCTGGGGCCTGGAGTCGGAGATCGGGGTGCTCACAGGCTGGGTTTGGCCGGGGTGTCCCTGCTGGCTCCAGACAGTTGTCCTCAGGCTGGGCCCTCAGCTGGTGGGAGGGGTGAGGGCACTCCCTGCCACCCCTCCCCAAGGGAAGACGTCTTCATGAGGCTCAGCCTCAGTGCCTCACGGGTAGTGTTTCAACACACACTCGGGGACGCAAGCTGCCCACGGTTGGTGACCTACGTGGCAGGCGGCCCTGAGGTGGTGCCTCACGTTCCTGCCTGGCCCCCGGCTGGCGCAGGGCCACCCAAGACTCTCTAAGTGGCCTTACATCCCCTATAACTGGGGGTGTTGACGGCGCCACCTCCTGGGGGGATGCGGGTGGGGGCCTGGCACATGGTGCTGGGGTGAGGCCGGCCCCTGACCCCTGCAGCTGAGAGGCCAGAGGGTCTAAGAGGTCTCCTCCCACATGGGGGGCTGCTGGCGGGGTCCCTGGGGCGGCCCGGTGAGCGTCCGCCCGATCCCCACAGTTCCTTCTTCTACGCCTTCCTGAACCTCCTGGTCAGCGCCTTCGTGGTCTTCCTCGTCTTCATCGCCAGCACCATCGTGAGCGTGGGCTTCAGCATGTGGTGTGTCGCCATCACAGAGAAGGGCACCCTGGCCCGC